TGAAATATACTGCACGAAAACGTTATTGTGCTTTATAATGTTTATGTGGCTTTCGTGGGGCTTAATAATAACACAGAATAGTATACGCACTATATCGGATTTGGATCGGTCTCACACCCCTAGTATACACGGTCACTCAACCCCCCTAATTTAAATGTGAAATTAAAACCACCAGTAGGTGGCAGCAAGTCACTGCGATTGAACGAATCATTTAAAATGTTGATTCATTCAGGAACTAAATACCGTCAAGTTGCTCAGAGACGCAAAACAGCATTGTGGCTTTAGTGCAATAGTGCAGAAACAGGCAATATGGTGTCTAAAACGTAGGTATCTTAATTAACTTCTAGTTTACTGAACTGTAGTAAAAAAAAAATCACACATATCACATTTGTAATCATGGAAATTTTTGGAGAAAAAAAAAACAGACTTTTCATGTGAAATTGATTAACTATATGAAGTGGTATAAATATATACATTTTATGCCCCCATATCTTGAATTTGTGATCATTCTGAATGTATTTTAATAGACTGAATCATGCAGTGAAAGAGCGCACTGTTAATGAGCACACGCACTAGACTTCACGTAATGTGCGCACTCTGTGTTTTTAATGTTTTTTTGCGTCGTGAGAATATTCAGCAAAATAGCTCACTTGTCATGGTATGCTACTTAACTATATCATGTTATGAATAAACTAAACATTTTGAATTTTTATGTGTGCTGTTACGCTCATTTGTTCTGAAGTCTGACAGAGACAGACAGCACGAGTCTCAACAGCGCAAGAATCATTCTCGCTTTTCGATGTTTCGTTTTTTTTTTTTTTTGTCACTTATGTTTTAATCAGGCTATTTGTCCGGTCAGGCAAGTAAAAAAAAATAAATAAATTTAAACTAGCTAGAAGGCTGATCAGCTGTAGCTCGACCTATACTATTATTATTATTGAGAATATTAAGAAGGTAGTTCGACATGTATTCTGCTACTGCGATTCTCTCTGATGATGCAGTAACTTGCCGCGGGGAAGAAAATATCTTCGGTCGGTCCAATGATTGTAAACAGTCATTAGGTCCGTCAGACTTAAGATATTTTAGCGGTAATGTGACCAAAAATATTTTACCTATCGAATCTGAATTTAAGACATTTTAAGACTTTTTAAGGCATTTTATTAGGAAAACGTTATTTAAGACTTTTTAAAGACCCGCGGTGCGGACACCCTGCATGATTATGGGAAGACAGGCAGAGAGATGTCTGGGCAAAAGGTTATACTGTATGCATGGTGTGATGATCTTCATGTGTAAATGTCACAGTCTAAACTCATAACACTACAGCCAACTAAGCCAACAGAGCTCAGCGGTCGTATGGAAATAATCACCAGCCATGAATAAGAAAGTGTGTGCATAAGGATGTGTGAACTCAGCAGATCTCACAGTCATTCCCTTTTAAACAAATCCAAAAAGCAGCAGCAAAGATAATGCCCAAGGAGCCATTTAAATTCATTTGATGACTGTAAAGCATCACTATATATTCTGCTCCCCCTGCCACACACACTCAGATCACTTAGCTCAGCAGGGGAGAAAAGGAGTATTAATTCAGAATCAGGCCACATGCCATGCAATTATTCCCACACACGGCACGTGCTCTTTAAGAGCGTCCTATGCAGATTTCAAATGATATTTTCCAGCCACATCCCACTCATTGCCACATGCTAAACACACACACACAAATATACAGATGTTAAGTGTATAGGATGTTAACAAAGTATTGTATGTTAAATGTTATATACTGCACATGCATATACAGAAATGGTGGAGGGTGATGAATGTACCGCGTCCTTTGATCTAAGAAGTCAAGGACAGAGGTACAGAAAGTACTTTTCTCTTTTCTATAGATACATACTATCCCAAGAAAAATAGAAGGGGTACAAGATGAAGGTATTATTTGTGAGTAAATCTCACAAAACATGAGAAATTCACATAATAAATTAATTGTTTTAGTGGTGATTATTATGCATTGGGGACTTTTTATATTAGAATAAAATGACAGCAGTACAACAGATATTACTGTCATAGCATGTTATTTTTTCCATATTGGGGGAGTAGGTATTTGTCATAACATTGCAAAAAAATAAAATAAATAATAAATATAATAAAATAGGCCTAATTTTCTTTAAGCTATTCTATTGGTTGCGAGGTGAAACAAGGAGATGGCAGGTTTCGTGAAAATCACCCGCGTATGTGTGTGCGTGTATGCCATTTACTTGGTCACCAAATAAAGCTTCTCAACAATGTGGCAGCATGTAATCCGCCTTATCTGTGCTGCTAAATGTAGGGAGCAGTGAGAGCATTTAACAGAACATCTTGGATGAGTTTAACACTATAAAATCTGCTACAATAGCAGGTACTTACAGAGTCAACAACAACAAGACTAAGAGGTGAAGGAGGACATGAAGAGAGAGAAAGAATTGGGCTGCAGATTCAGAGTGATGATTGGTGATCGACAGAGAAAGGAAGAAATTAAAATAATCCCTCAAATATGAAAATAACGAGAGGAGATATTAAATGACAGAAAGATAGAATGATGTTGGACTAGGATTCAAAGGAATAGGTGTGTGTTGTGATGGGGGATGGTCGTCTGAGTCTGTTCTCTAGAAATAAAAGCAGGAAAATTGATAGACACAATCTCTCTTTCACTGCTGCACTTTTCAATTAAATCAAGTCTATCAAAGCAGAAAGGGGCGGGACTCGGTGTGTCTGCAACAAAAGAGAGATTTAACTTTTATTTCAAGCTTGTGCCAAATGTTTTCACTGGTTATCTGACTGTATCTCCTGTATCTCTCTCTGAGCTGTTGTGTGGGGCAGCAGATGGTCGCTAATCATTAGTGTATTGTCAGGGCTCTGATGGGCCCGATAACCACTGTGCACTGCTTGGAATGGCAGGTGCACGACCCTGGCCCCCACCATCTGCTGGCCCGGCCCCTCACACACACTATTCTCAGGGGGGAGGCTTCTCTGGAAGCCCACTCGCAGACACACTCAGCTCTCTGAGATGAGTTCTTGGGATGTCCTAATAGTACATTTTTAATAAAACAATGTTTACTCTCTCCTCTAGCGCTATTATTATGAAGGAAGAAATGGAAAGAATACAATCTAAGGAAATAAAGGGTAGTCAAAAGCTTCAATGCCCACAGTGCTCTCAATGATGATCTCTATAGCCCTCTATATCTAAGGCCAGGTCAGAGGTAACCAATTTGACATATTTTAATGTTCACTGACTCAGTGAGGACGCAGATATAAAAAAACTGAAATAAATGCGCCAGAGCGTGACAAAAACCAATCAGTCCTAACAAAATGAAGCGTCGTCATAACATCCGGCACACTATATAAAAATGTAGTTGTGTTTGTCAAAGTATGCGTCTGCTTCCCATTCACAAATGTATTATTCAAATCAGTGTGTAAATGTGACGGGAGGAGGGAAGGAGTGGAATGTGGCATTACAGACGCTGGCGTAGTAAACAGAGCACAGTCTATCCATGCTCTCATCTCTGCTCAATGGATCCCCTTACTGGCGCAAGTTCCTATCAGGAAGACTATCAGTTCATTCTACACAAATAAGAGCTCTGTTCTGTCTCTGTGGCTCATCTTTTGTTTTGGTGGAATGTTGTCGGTGACCAATCACAGGGCAGGATGGCTGAGCTCTAGCGAGTGCGTGTCGATGTTTGTGTGAGTTTTCTTTGTGGTCTCCTCCCACTGTTCTAGAGTTTATGTGGCCTGTGGCTACGTATTTCTACTCCATCCACTCGTGGAGGTAAACAGAGAATTGTAGAAACGCTTGCTCCGCCAGCACAAACACTCTCACACACACCCTAGAGATCATAATTGAGCTTCTTATGTCGTCTATTTGCCTTTTTTTTGGTGTGTGCTTCTGCTTCTAATCTTTTGTGAAGTGTCATTCATCAGACAAGTCGCTCTGTCCTTCGAGTGCAATCTTTCACCTTGACCTTTTGTCAGTGCAAGGGTCTCAGTAAAATGTAGAGTACTCTTTTTAACACTTATATATATACTTAATGCAATCCCACTTATACAAAGTCACGCTCGACAAGAACAACACCTCCTATCTTGCAACTCATTTCAATGTGCGAGTCCACGTGAGTCTATATCTGTCTATCAGCCCACATGTTTATCGCTGAGCTACACAAACAACTTTGTTTTTCAAGTCGTGCTGAAAAACAAAAGGTGGGTCATTCCTTAAATGAAACCTGGCAGGTCGGAAAAACAAGCCAACGTTAACCTCTCCGAACGACCTTTGCACACGTTCTGCATTCCAGCCCTGAAACCCTCTACCTGAAAACGGATAAACAACTGACTCACTTGTTTTTATCTGAGCTACTGTTCACTCAAGTATGACACAATGACTAATTCTGATTCAGAGAATGAGTCAAGGTATGATGCAAATATTGGGAATGATTCCTCTTTTGCTGGATTATTGAAATGCGGATATGAGCTCGCTCTCTTTCTCTTTTACATTTACATCCTCTTAACCTCACCGCATCCCACAGAGTCATCATGCTATTGTCAACAGAATTAACATTTCAACTAATAAGCAATCCAGTACAGAGGAATAAACCCTTTAACAGAGCTGTTTTCATCTTAAAACCCGCTGCAGGCACGGATGAAGCGATCAGTCTCTATGAATAAAAACTGCGCCACAGCTTTTAAAGAGGCTTTTCCATCATTCTGACACTCAAGTTGCTCAATTAGCTCTCTCACATAAGAGGGAAATCTGTCATGTGCCACATTCCTTTGGTGCACGAGTAATATGCTGTTGTTATTTTAGCAAAAATAAACCGTCATGTCATATTTTGGCACATTAATACAGCTAAATAATCATTCTGATTAAACAATTCAGAGCATAGTGATATGAAAGGAATGACTGTAAACATTAACTAATGAAGGTAGTGAGCTTACACATCACCAGTTATCTCCAGTTATGAATTCCCAAAGCTTACCTTTTACTGTTGTTGCCGTCTCCTTGAACCCAAGGCTGGCATACGGACTGGCATGTATTCCATTGATGCCCTCTTTACAACAGCTGGCAGCTTTGAACCGGACAAGAGAATCACAGCTGGCAAGTTCTCCGTCCATCAAGTTTAAGGCAATGTAGTTAAGTCCATTCTGAAAGCCAGCCGACGTCTCCCTGCACATGGGACTGTTATACTCTTCATCCGATCCTTCACTGTTCCTCACAGAAACAGACACGTTCTCCACAGAGGCCGAACCGTGCCGCCTGGCGTCGTGTGCGAATGAGGGAAAAACTGGTGTTACGGTGGTGGTTGAGGAGAATGTCTCTGAACTGTGACGCCTGCGCCCCTGGGGGTCTGCACGAATTACCTTGGCCCCCCGGTCAGGGTCCACCAAGGCCAGAGTGGTGCCATGCAGCAGAAAAGCCTCAGTGGCAGGCACTCCCACAGCCTCATCCACAGTCAGCCTCTGCATGCAGGAGGATGGACTGATGGTCTGCCCACCTTCTGAGGGCTGCGATACAGGCTGCGGAGGGGAAGCGGGCACGCCAAACGTCATCTCTGTGTAATCGTCTTTAGCTTTGTCGACCGGGCCCACCGGTGCCACCTGTGCAGTGAGGTGGTACCTTTCGTCTTCCTCCTCTTCCTCGGGGTGGGCGGGGCAGGATGTGAGCTCTGGAAGGGGCTCCAAACGATCAGATTGAGCAGCGTTTCCAGATTTGGGTGACTGCGAACTCACATCAATGTTCATGTAATCAGAGATGGGGGACGTCCTGTGATCGGCGCAGGATCCGAGGGATGAGGCTGGGCTCTCGGAGGAAACAGTGGAGGGTGGAGTGCAACTTTCAGCAACACGTCCAAAGTCTATGATTATGTACTCGCCAGGGCTTTTTGGCTCTGAGGGGAGGGGATGCTCATTCATGCTATGTAATGTCCGAAACGTGTCCAGGGAGAGGCGGGTTGGCCGGCTGATCCTGTGCCGGAGGATGAGGCTGTCTGTGCGGCTTTGTCTTAGAGGAGATGGGGATGCTGTGTTTACGGACTCCTCTATTATCCTGTGACTTTGATGATTCATGACAACATACTGATCATTGTCCGCATTCTTTAGCATCTGCTGGGGCTTATGACAGCGGGGCAAAGAGTGAAGCTGTCGGAGACAGGGAGACTGCTCCATACCCACAGGGCTCAGGTAGTAGTCTGGTGGCGTGACCGAATCTGCAGGCGACATGTTGAGGTACTCACCGTTCGTCAGTTTCGCATCCGAGCTGTCTATGGAGAACTTAGAGCTGCACAGCATCCTCATGTAGCCACTGTCATCCAGAGAACAGCTGCTGGGGGAATTGGTTCTGTAACCATTAGCTATAGTGAGGGGGTGCGTCCTGGGGTTGATTATCTGCTTCGGAGCAGAAACGCACATTGGGCTCATAGGCATGTAGTTGTCAGACTTCCCCCCTTGTGGAGCCACACCTGGCGTCATTGGCATGTAGCCATCGTCGCCCAGATTACTGCTGGAACTTTTCAGTAATGATCCGATTTCGATGTCCCCGTAATCCTCGGGGTATGTGATTTTTGGGGATGCGGTGTGTGAGCTGCGCCCCGAATGGCCTCCAGTTGTGTAAGTGGCTCTCATGAGCGTGTATTCATCCAGTGAAGCTGAGGACACTTGTGATGGCACCCTCTTCTGGTAAGGCATGGTGAGGGAGTGTGTCCTCTTCCTGTAGGCATTCTCCAGATCTACTCTGCTTTCCTCAACTGCTGCCCGGACGCTTCTCCGTCCACAGCTATTGGGCCTCTCCATGATCATGTATCCGTACAGGTCGCTGGGGGGGGTGTCAGCGAGCGACTCAGGTGTGTTGCTTCGGTTCGCTGCTAAAAGTTGCCATATATCACCCGGGCTGGAGCCGCACTCATCGCAGGAGATGAAGCCTGCGTCGCTGGGGGAGCCCGAGATGGAAGCGGTGCAGCTGGAGGGGCGAGGGCCGCCTTCTATGTTATTGCCGCAGGACATGCTGACAGGGCTGGCAGCTGAGGGAGGGGAGTGAGACACAGGCATGCACATGGATTTACTATGCTGCAGGGATGATGCCTCAAATGTTCTGCATGGGCGAGCTGTCACTGTGTTGGAGCGGCTCAGGTGCGTCCTGTTCACACCTGGGCTGATGGGGCTGCCGTCGCCCTCGCTTGCCGTGCGAATCCTACAAGAAGTCAGTTTCGTCACGGGAGACGTCGTTGCCATGCTGTCGGTACGCGAGCGCCGCTTCAGCCCGGTTTGACTCGGCGGGAGGTTGTTAAAGTGCCGCCTGGTGGGCACAGAGATGGGGTTGCTACCTGAGGACTGGCTTTTGCTGCGCGGGCGGAACTCTGACATCTCTTTCATGGCTTTCATCGCCTCCAAAATAGTCTCGTGAATGTTTTGCGCCACCACCGAGTCGTCCGCCTGCATCCACAACTCGCCGGGTCCGATGGACGCGGACCGGCCCACCTCGATGAAGAAGAAGCTGTCTGAGTGTCCGCATCGGCGGATGTTCATCAGCTGTAAAATCACCGACGCCGCCTCGGTGTTGAGTTTCACGAAGCTGATCGTTCGGCTGGATAAACACAGCCTGTGAACGCCCGTTAAGTTCCTGCTCTGTCCGAGTCCCTTAGATTTCAGATTGACCTGCCAAACCTCCTTGTAAGTGGCGGAGACGGGCGTTATCACGCCGTAGCTCTCCTCATCAAAACCGACGAGGGATGACGCCGAATTATTCGCGGAGCCGTCGCTCACTTTCCCCTCGTTCATTAAATCCGTTAAGACCGTGTACCAGTCCTCCTGTTCCTGCTCGTTTTCGGCGGCCACGGCAAAATACTCGTCCTTGGTGTAAAGGGCGATCAGGTGTTTGTGTTTGGCATCGGCTCTCTTGTTGATGTTCAGGCACGAGTCCAAAGGTATAACCCGTTTAGCAGCCGACTTGTTTTTCCATTTCTTCTCGCTCTCGTAATACTCCAACCGGGCGCGGGAGCCCTCGCTCGGCTCCCTCAGCACAAAAAACCGCTTGTGTCCGTGCTTCTGCTTCCTCAGATAGCCGCATTTCTTAACGTGGTTGTTGTTCTTCACGGTCATATTTGAAATCAGCTGTCCTCCCGTCGGCGGCGGACTCGCCATTCTCATATATGCTGTGAAGAAAAACTCTCACTTTTCCTTGACTTGTGCTGTCAGTCAGTTATAATCCTGTCAGACTTCCTTGTGGACCCGGCTCGGAGTGCGCGTTCGCTGCGTGGAGCGGTTTAACAGTAAATAACACATATCGCTAAGTGACTGGAGTGAAGAGGAAAAACAACATGTGACGTCCTACACATCCAAGCTTTGGTTACAAAAAAAATAGAAAGAAAAAAATACGCACACACACACAGAAATGAGGCGGTGCAACCTTCGGGGGAAGGCGTACCTGTGAATCCGCCCCTTTTAACAGCTCATTGGGCTTATTGGTGGAAATGTCTGATTGACAGTAGAGCGAACTAATCACTTTCTACTCCTATTCGCTGCTCCGCCCCCGCTGGAGCAACTCAAGCTACGGGAATTGTCAGAGGATCGCAACCCACTGTGCGTGCTGCTCGGATAGCCGCTCGGTTTTACATTTTACTCAAATACGGAATAAAATGACTGTGAATAGTCTACGGTTTAAATCTTCTTGGGTCGTTTTAGGGAACAGCTGGGGTGGTTAAAACAACTAGTAAGTACTGACTGGGGCGCAACTTTTTCTGCATTTTGTAATTTGTTCTTTAATCACATCGTTTTGTGTTCATTTCGCTTATGATTTTGTAAAGTCATGTTCTTATGTGTGTTTTTCGGATGAAGATTATGCCTAAAACTTAAATAACGTCCTGCTTATTTTTATTAGTATTATTATAATTTTTTTTTTTACATTTAAAGCCATTTGCAAATGTAATATAAACTACTCCCTTTTTATTTTAACTATAGGCTAATACTGTGAGTATTATTTTGTAAATTGTATTATTGAAAGATCAACCCAGATCATGTCTCTGCTCGACGCATCATACAATTCATACGCAATGCGCGTGACTTAATATGTATTCCTATATATTACTTCATTCTTTTGACCTCGTTATATTGACGCATTAGGTTCAAGGCGAATCATTTAACTCTGAGATTATTAAAAAATAAATAAAAGTTTGCGGAGCATCCTCGTTATGTAACGCAACCGGTGCTCTGTATTTACAGAGTCTGAATGCGTCTTGTGTTATGGGACTGCCTCTATCGTTTCCGAATATATATATATCGTGTGCGTGTGTGCGTGCGTGCGCGTTTGCCTTGTTTTTGCCTTCCACTATAAGACTATTTCCGGTCATTGCCTTTTCCTCACACTCCTCCTTCACAGTGTAATGTACAATACCCCTCCTACACTGCAAGCGAGCGACGCGACGAAAGACGCTCCCGATATGATGAATGAACTGCAAACACTGCATGCGCACGATAAAGTTAGATTATAGTGCGAGCGTTGTAGTTTGACACGTCGGCGTCGCTCAGGGTATCGGAGCATATCTCATGGTGTAGCCTATTTATATAACATAAATGAAGCATTTAAACCCAGAATAGAAGAATGTCAGCGAAACTGTCAGTATGTTCATGTGGAAAAAGCAGAGCATCAGTTATGCTCTAGTTTTTGCTGGGTATCAGTGATGACGCTGCGATGCAGGTCTGCTGAGGATTGAGTACGTCAGTGGCTATGTACGTAAAAAGAGAGATGCTTATACTCCTCTCAGATGAACTGAACTGTACTGTATGGCTGTGCGTTACCCAGTAAGAGCACACACCTCCCGGGAAAAGATGTCTCATCTGACAAAGGGGGGAAAAAAAAGTAAATTAGATAATTCATTTTAAAGGCATTTCTCCATCATGTCTGTTTTGAGTGAAATGTATTTATATAGGCTAGTGCATTGTGCTCTTAACTTCCACACTGAAAAGACAAAATGTGTGGAGTTCTTAATATGTACAGTATATAATCTATATTAAATAGCCTATGTGTATTCTATATAAGCCCATTATGTGTGTAATATAAAACTAGCGTGTACTGTTTTATGCAGATCATTAAAGTAAACCTTAATATGGGCAGTGTGTTTGTCTCGTTTAATTAATTCTTGATTGTCATTTTATAAATGGTCTCATGTGTTTGGCCTTGAAGAAGGTCCCAGAGGAATTGAAGACCTTTCCTTCCTCATGTGCAGAGTTTTTGCTGTCTCAGCTTTCTAGATCGCCTTCTTATTCGGTGGCAAGGTCAATTATACATATCTGTGAATCTGGCAACAATCCACTGATTTTACCGGAATGACTGTAGAAATGAAATCAAAATACCTTACTTACTGCTTCTGTCCTCTGCCCGTGAATAACTCGATTCAACAGCTCAGTTGTGGGCTAAGAGTCACTGGCCCAGTAACGTCATTAATGTCACTGATTTTCACACTGTTGTCACCCTCAATAATAAGCAAATGATAAGCTTGAGTGTAGCAGGTATGTATGTCACGTGAGACCTGCTAGAATTAATTGAGTATACTATTATAATTATAACCATACCCCCATTTGTGCAATGCAAAGCAGCTGTGTTCATAGCACTGTTAATAAACAAAGCTAGCAGCTCAATAAAGTCATATTTTGGGTTATATTTATCTCCAGCTGAATTAAAGGTTTTTGTCGTGTAAAGATACAGTCATTTATTACATTTAAGGTTAACATATTTCAAATGAACTAAATAAGACAATACAGGTAAATATGCACTTAAGCACTAATTAAGTGGGTCAAAAAATCTCTTTTAAAATCAATTATTATACAGTTAAACTAAAATCCATTTAATTGTTAATACCATGCTATTAAGTAGCCAAAAACATTTAGTTCACATTTTCTTTTAAAGTATATTATTTCCCTAATAAGTACTCTTTTTAAAAGGATGCTTAAGTGTACTGTAGTTATTTTTTCGCAAGGATAGACTGGTAAAATAGTTCAAGTCTGGCCCAAACAGCCTCTGATGAATAAAAATGTTTGTTTTAGTTTCTAAGATCCAATGTTCCTTATTCAGTGTTTGCAGTAACTTGAGAAGAACCCCTGATGGGCTTAGTGTTGAAACAATTTGAAGCCTAACTTGGCAGGCTGGCCATTGTGAACAATAGCGGCACTTGTCACATTAATTTGTCTGTTATTAAGTGGGAAACGTGCCTACACAATTCTGCAATAATAAGGCATTGGACAAATGTAGAAGAGTAGGAAACATTCAAAATGTGAAACATACAGTAAATGGGATCAAATTCAGTCTCGATGTTTTTAAACGACAACATGTATGACGTATGGAGCAAAAACACTTCTCCTGGCAACACCCTGAGTGACACAATGACCTGTGGCGGAGGAGCACACATAATGGTTTCCCTCCCTCCCTTTCTCCAGCCCTGTCTGTTTGTGTGGGAAGATGAGAGAATGTGTGTGTGTTTATGTGTGTGTATCCATAAAGACTTCTGGAGTAAAATGCAAATCAAGGCTTCATAAAATTGCAATAAGATGTATGATTCTTCTGCATTACGCATGTTCACAAACATGCAAAGCAGGTTACATTTAAAGATACACAAGCACGTGCAAACACACGCACACACATTCGACATAAGGCCCATCTCAGGTCCATCTGCTCTTAGTGATCCTTTCAGGTTCATTTTTAAAGCATGCATATGTATCAGCTTGAAATTTACACACTGTGATCCGTTAATTTACTACTTAATTAAATGCCCATCAAACTCTTATTTACGAGGGTGTAACGTTGATCGTTCTGGACTACTGCCATGAGACTCTTTTCTATTTACAATTAAACTACAGGTGTGACATGACCGAGACACTAAAATTGTAAGTGAAACATATGACGATGTTGAGTTCTGGGAACATGCATATATTTTCTGGATGATGCTCAAGCTATCAGATGGAAAGAACATAATAATAATTAATATTTCCATAATTTTACAGGATGCACTTTTTATAGTGATGTTGATGTATCATTGTAATCATTTTACCTTTACACTTCATTCCCTCTCTGACTGCTTACAGTAAAATATGAGCCGTGTGTGTGTGTGTGTACTGGAGTCAGGCCCAGTCTGGCCATCGGGAGCACCGGGAGAATTCCCGGTGGCCTGGCGACATAATTGTTCCTTTTTTACCCCTAGGCTTACAAATTAGTACCTTAAGGGTACGAATTACTACTCTTAAGGTACTAATATGTACGGTGTACTGCTACGGTGTCAAGCTGTTGTACCCCAAAAGGTACAATTTTGGCCCCTTTTTTCTGTGGCCTGGATGAGTGTGAGATTTCCCGGCCTGAAATTGCATCCCAGTCCGGCCCTGACTGGAGAACTGGATTCAAAAATCACAGATCCTGAAACAATATCTGAGTACCAAACTGTTTTTTTTTTTTTTCTGTGAGAGAAAAATCTGCTTTTAATAATTCAATGCTGGATTCAACACAGGGTTAGTTCCCCCATGCTGATATTAGACAGTTTTAGCGTCATACGTTTTCTTCTTTTATTGTGTTTCTTGGTGGAAAGTCATGATAGCTGCAAAAGATTTCTTCACTGAAAAACATTTGATGGTGGGACTTTTAACTCAGAAATTGCTAGTAAATTGTACAAAAATTGCAAAGACCATATTGTACTAAAAGTAAAACATACTCCAATAATCTCCATACAACTTCACATAAATCTTTTTTTTACAGTATACACTGTACATACAGCCAATCAAACAATTATGATATCTCATAACGTCTCACATAGCAGTGCTCATTCAGAAGCTCTTCTCTAACCTCAGACCACAGATATTGATAAAAGACAAACATGAATAGATTCATCTTTTTGATGGATTGCTGCTGGATTGGCCCATGTCAGGACCATATAGCTCTAATACTAAGCATGTCCATGATTTGACTATTGGACAAGCCCACAAACCTTTACATTCAGTCAGTTAACAATTCATTTAAAATTTGATTTTGTTTGACTATTTTGCTTCAGTGTGAATGTGTTGTACATATTCCGCCAGTCTTAAAAGAGAGAGAGAGAGAGAAGAACAAGGCTACAACCATTTGACAGTTTCACCTCCTCCCTCACACTCGTTTACCTTTTTCCTCTGTATCATGACATTTACATTTGGCAAACACTTTTATCCAAATATAAAAACTTACTGTACATTGTATTCAACATATGGGTATCAAACCTATGACCTTCCTTCACACTATGGGCCATGAGCTACTGTACAGGAATGCACAACGATCCTAAGCCTTTTCAAAATCCCCATAAATAAATGTCCAGTTAATTGTTAATAATGTGACAATTGGTAATCTACAATGATCTTGAATGAATGAATAAATATAAAATAATTGATCAATCCATAAGGTACTTTGTCCAAAATTGACATTTTACAGATTTTCATTTACAGATTTACATTTATGCAATTGGGAGACACTTTTATCCAAAGCAACTTACAATGCATTGAGGTATACGATATATCAGTTCATGCATTC